TCTGTTTAGAATTCTTTTAATCTATCCATTCCCTGCTTTTATATTCATCTGATAACTGAAGGTTCTCTGAAGGATATTTCTTTGCATATCAACTTATTAAACCAATAATGCTCAAACGTGTGAGATTTACTTCCCTTTTTTAGTTTTTTTGGAGGATTTTTTTGGTGGTTTGTAGGTTTATTTTTAGGATTTTTTTTTCATCGCAAGATATGCTCTTGTGTGAGTTGTTTAATTTCTATTTGCCTTTCTTGATTTTTTTTTTTTCGGAGGGGTAGGGGGAGGGCAGGGAAAATAAGAAACAATTTATATGGCAGATCTAAAGTTTCATTAAAATTGCTTATGCCCTGTCCCAGGCATTTTAAGTGGGCCATCTGTCTAAACATCTCTGCATTTTTTTCTGATCATTTCCTCGACTTATTCATGAGCCATGGGAGGGCTCCTTTGTAGTCTCCATGTAGCTGGTTCAGTCTACCCCCACTGAATACATCTATGTGCTTGCATAACATATCTTTTCATAGTGCTGGAAATTCTCTGAACTTGGTTCAGATGAATGGCCCACTTTCTGAAGGTCTTTTTTTCTCCCTTTGCAAGATTTGTATGCAGAAACTGACCTTGGTGGCTACAGAATCCAGCACATTATTCTTGATCATTTTACAGGCCACCTGCTGTGAAAGTTATGATGAAGGATTTCTTAATGATTCTTTGACCATTAACATTGTTTTAAGTCAATATTTCACTTTTATTTAACTGCTGAATAGGTAATTGCACAATTGAAAAACAGCTTTATGGAGTGTCACATAATGTGGTTTTCAAACGCTTGTAATCTTTCAAACGGGAGGATTTGTTATGATAGTTTGGGATTTCTCTGTTTACATAAAGTATTATGCAGCAAAAATATCAGAAGTGAAGAGGAATTCGTGTTTTCCACCTCAGCATTAGAAGACACATTTTGAATTTGAAGTATAAAAATCTGTACTCAATTTTCTGATCCTTTAGGAGCTGGTGACATCCTAACTCATTTACATCATCAGTGGTAATAGGGAGGGGGAAGTTTATTTGGCACAAACTGCAGAAAATTGTAGTTTTTATTGAGTTTCTTCTTTCACCAATCTGATTGATTGGTGACAATCAAAATGGCCAGGGTAGAGTTATTACTTGATTTGCTTTTGTGAGTGTCTGTTTTCTTTCATTACTTGTTTTTGACTAGAATAGATAATAGTTTAATGAATGTGTTCCATGAGCACAGTAAGTATGTGTCGACCTAAAATTTTTAGCAGTTGTCTGCTTTTCCTCACTGAAAACTTGCAAAGAAACCAGGAGCTTTGGCTGCTGTGTTTTCTCAAGTGTCTTCCTCTCCCACACACGGCATTAGGGGGTAAAAGGGACATAATACATTTCTACACAGACTACATCTCTGGTTGAACAAACAGCAGTAGAGCTTGAAAAGAAATAACTAAGCCAGCAAATGCTGCTGTTTTTCTTGTTGCGTTGCTTACATGTTTGTAATTGGTGCTTTGGAGTAAAGCCTTTATGACTTAAAGCCAGGCCATCACTCTTCAGCTGTGTTCTTATGCTTGTGATGCTTCCCCTTAGAAGGCAATTTTTTTGGAGTGGAGAGGTTCAGAACTGCCCATTTTAGTGTGGAAGGAGTTGATAGGCCCCTTCTCCACCCATCTCCTGTTGTTGTGACTGCCATGCTGCCTTTGCTGTCTCTGTCCCTTTGTGTGTAATGCTCCTGGCAAGGATCAGCAGCTCACAGTTCTCCATGGCCCTGCTCCCCATCCACCTGGCACTCATCTTGCTGTGAAACTTGTGTTTCTTCCTGCAGGCAGTGATCTTTATAGGCAAATGAAGTAATTTTATTGGATGATATGTCATTTGCCAAAACTGGGAGAAAAGGGAGGGCACGTTGAACCCTGGGGAAGACATACTGTGTGGACTCTGAATCTAGGGTTGGAAAGGAAGTGCCTTATGTTTTGTGTGTTTTTTTTTTTTTTTTTTATGATGGCAAAAATTGCACTATTTTTATTTTCAGTGGGATATTTTTTTCCTGTGGATACAATATGTTGGATTTAAGCCTATTATGTAGAATTTTAAAAGTTCTATATTTTGAGAGTAGCCAGAAGTTTGGGGAGTTTTCTGTGAACCTAGTGTGAAATATATTCAGAGTTCAGATGCTTTCTTTGGGAGGACTTAAAAGTCTTCTCAGCTAAGGCAGCAACCTTGGCAACGAACAAATATAATTTCCCATGCACTCAGATGTCTCAGATTAAAAAACCCCAAAACACCATAAAACAACAGAAAACCCCACAACAAATCTCATTTCCTAGCCTGGTAGAAACGTCTGCATTTCTAAAGTAGTTCATGGATGTGAGCAACTTCATTTTCATATTCAACAAACTTAGACTTTGATCCTTACTTTTGGACTTTGTAATCCTTATTTATATGAATGTTCCCTACCCTCAAATCCTATCAACATGAAGTCTACTACAAGATAACTTCTTTGAAAGGAATTTGATTTAATGAAGAAATAGGATTGTCATGAGCTAATGTATATGTTCTAGCCAGTGTCAGTTATAGTTACAAAACCACAGGCAAAGCTGATTAGCAAAGCTGAGAAATGTCCCTGTGCAAAGGGATCTAGCAATTCCAGGAGGGAAGTACAATTTGCTGTATATTTGATGCAGCTCTGGACCTTGCCCTCCTGGCCATTGGTGTTGCAGAGAGGAGTTATGTGGCTGTTTGAAACCCAGGCAAAGCAGTGATGATAGTTTTGCCTTTCAAGATGCATGCATCCTGTTTGGAGATACACTTGACAAAGCTCAGCAAGACAGGACTGAACAAAAATAATCCCTGCTGGAGAACAAGGCTGTCTTTCCTTTGATGGCCAGCAGCCAGATTCATGAGGTCACTTCCAGTCAAATGCAATATGAAGCAGGGCTGTGCCAGCAAGGCTGTAAGGAATCTCATGACACCAGTGAAGCAGATCTACTACGCTGAGTTTGTGATGTGGTCCTAGTGCTAATGTAAGAAATGTGAAGTTGCTATAAACCACTAAATCCTGTTGGTTGTTTCAGTGGAGTGTCGTGGAGAACTTAACCAGGTGCTGCCTGTATTCCTCCTTACTGGTGATCTGATACCAGGAAGTGCAATGAAAACATCTCAGCTTGCTGCCTGCTACCTGTGCAGGAAATTCCTCTTCCTCTTCTTCAGGAACTCCTATGTCTGTCACATTTCCTATCAGCCAGTCTAAATGTTTGGTGACATACAGGAATTCCAATATGAGTTGCTGAGAAATGACATTGCACCCAATAAACCACAGAAAACTCCTCAGATTTATTGTTTTGACAATTGTCACTATATTAAATGTGAAAGGTAACGCTTGGCATTGTTAGCACTGGAACAGGTTGTTTTCAATATCTGTCTTGTGAACTTTTAGGGTAGTGATAGAGGTGAGCTAAGGTATTTGGTGAAATTTGATGTAGGTCTTACTTGGCTTGCATCCAGAAGTAACTAAGGATCATTATGCATCTATTTGTGTCTGATATATTTAGCATTTCCATTTCCCCTTTCCAGGCACATGGCAAGGCACAATTTTTGGCAGCTGCTTGCCTCATTAAGTACTAGAACTTGTGCTTTCTTAAGTTCCAGGTATCTAAAAACCTAAAGTTCTTAAAATAATTGTTGAAATCCTTGGCAAGTCAGCATATCATCCTTGGCTTGGACAGTATTTCTCCTCCTGTGGCCTCTTGAGGCCTCACAGGTGCTTCTCCCTGTTGATTCCACAGGAAGCCTGAGCACTCTCTTTGGGGATGTGTGGTTCACTGGTCACCTGAATCCTCTGGAGGATGTGTGTGGTATAACTTGTTTACTGGTTTTAAGACTCTGCAGGCTGCAATAAAAGGTGTAGTAAGTGCTATAATGTACATTAGATTAATGTTATAGCAGAAATGATCCTTAAAAGTGACATAAAGGTGATAAAATTATTATCCCTACAGATTTCTTACAGAAAAATCTAAACATATAAGAGTCAGTGGAAGAAAAGCTATACCAAAATGTGGTTTTGTTTTAATGGAGTGTAAATCACACCTTCCTGCCTTCCCTTTAGGCCATGTGGTGCATGCTCATGGTAATGTTGGTCACTCTAATGGTGACCACTCATTAGAAAAGTTGTAGTATACTTTTGGACACCAGTTGTTATGGCAAAGTGGAAGACACTCGAGAAGTTAGAATGAGGAAATGAAGAATGAATATACATTTAAATAAAATAGCTGAAAATTGCATGTTTCAGTCTGAATTTTGAAGAATGGAGGCTCAGTTCTCATTCCTTTGCTGCCAGGTGTGTGCTTTTTTAAGTTGAAAAGATTCAGGTTTCCTGTGTTACTTGATAAATGGTGCAGCCACAGAATGCTGCAGGAATTGGTATAATCCTCCATGTGGGCTGTGATGATACATCATTATTTTTTCAGTATGCTTGAAGGGCTCTGTGGATGAGATACTTAAAAATGTATATGAGTTATAAAATTACTTGTATTACTTGTTTGGATGAATCTTTTGTCTGTAATTGACTTTTAATTAAGGTTTACTGAGAATGAGATTAAAGAAATAATGATTATATTTTGCCCTTGAAAAGACTGCTCCAGTTATCACTGTTGCTATTCTCCTGCCAACCCACTTTCTCCTCTGCTTTTCATCCTGTTTGAGCTAATTCTGCAGCAAGTGCTGGCTGCATTCAAGGGCCTCCTATAACTTTATCAGCATACCCAGTGTGTCAAGGCAAATCTAGAAAGAAAGTAAGAGTGTATTTTCTCCTTATATGCTGTTTGACAGAAAAATGTATTTAGTATATATTTTTTTTCAGGTATGCTCTCCAACTGTGTCTATAGATTAATGATATTTTGTATCCTTCAGGACCATCCTATGAGGCAAGTGCTTCTGGTTAACTTGGGAGAAGCATGAAATCTCTGTTAAAATTTTTCTTCTGTCTGTTTCTTTTTTAGAATTCCTATTGCTGAATCAAAGAGAAGTAGCTGGGAGCTCTCTGTGCATCTAGGAGATGGAATTTACCCAGTTGCAGTTTCAAAGCATGGCTCATCATTTTCTGTAAGTTCTGCTCATTTTCTAAGAAATTCAGTGCATTGAGTCAGTATATATATTTTATCCTTGACACATGCTGAAATTCTCCATATTTTCTTTGACTGAGGATAGAGATGTGATTTGTCTTTAGTAGGCATTGCTGTTAATTACCAGACAAGACTCTGACAGTTGAATAGTGCTAGTGTACTGAGATATTTCTCACGCCTCATGCCTGTGGAACATTTTTATGTATAATTGTTTATTAAATTAGTTTCTAAATTATTCTATTTAGTGTCTTGTTTGGAAGTAGCATCTTATACTCTACTGTAAATATATGAGAGCAAGAAAACAAATGCAATGTTGACAAAAATTGCATTACCTTAAGCTAGAGTTTAGGAAAGCAAATCAAAGATCCAAGCCAATTGAATTAGCAATCCTACTGGAATGGCATTATTCAGGACTCTGTGGTAAAACTGTATGTGGTCATAGTAAAATGCCAGTGTTTCAGGATGTGCTTATTCACTTCAGATGAATGTATATAAACTTTTGTTTTTTACAAATGTTCTAAGTAATTGCTTAAGCACGTAATGTTGTCAGCATGAAAGGCAGAAGGACAGACCATGGCAGTAGAAGAACAGTAATGCTGAGTTCGGTAATTCAGCCGTTCAGCAGAATAAAGCCAAGACACAAGCTGGTTGAAGTATTAAGAGGATAAATTTGTCGGGAGAACTAATTTTTATGTCTGCTAATGGTGATTCCACAACCAAAATGAGATTTTATTTTTTTTTAAATTGGCCGTTGACTTGTATAGTATTTGTTGACTCTTAGGCAAAAGGTTTCAAAAGGGTCTTAATAAGGTGGATTTTCTTAGAATGGCGGTGACACAGCTGCTTGCTAAATTGTTGTTTCAGAAGCAAAGGCCAAGTCTGCATGACTACATAATACTCTACGTAATACTCCTGACATCCTCTGAACTTGGATGCAGCCCATTCGAACAGAACACCTCTGTCATATTTCAGCCCAGTTTAGAGTTGGGCTGGCACTGGTTTGTGTGACAGAGATAGTTCTTCCCAGAAGCAGTCATTGCCCTCAGCCTTTCCACCTTTTTGTTGCAGCACAAGAGCTGCCTGCTGCTGTGGGGATAGCCTGCTGCTTGCTGTGAGTGTTGCATAGGCCCTGGATGCAGTGAGCTCAGAGATCTAATTCCCATAGTTAGACTTCTCCAAACCAGGGAGCTCTTTAGCACAGCCAATTACAAAAGCATACACCTGCATACGTGCACACATTTTGTGAGATTTTCTTGAGTCCAAACCTGTCTCTCACTTTAAATGGAACTGCTAACAGTTGTGATGTCTTGCAACAGTATGAGAATTACAGCTAGTATAAACCAGTTTGACAAAGTGTATGGGAGTCTGATTTTGATCATTTGGTTTGTTATTCAAACAATAACAAATGTGAAAGTTCCTTCTCATATCTTTGTGTCTCTACAGTAAATTACTGACTGCTTTTACCTTCTGCTAGGCAGGGAAGCAGGAGCATGCCTCAGCATCAAAGAGTGGGTGCCTAAGCATTAAGTGTGCCAGTTTAGGACCGGCTGTGTGCCTAAAAGCGTGGGTCAGAGAGATTTGTGACAATAGCTTTTGCATTTTATTTCCACCCTAACCATGCCTGTATACGTGGGGAAATGTAAGTCCTTATTTATTTGTATCTGGAAAATACCTGGTGAAATAAATCACATCAAGGAAGTGTGTTTCACTTAAACCATATACCTATGAAGATACAGTATATTAAAAATTGCACCTGAGCTTAGTTATGTAAAAAGCAGGTAACTATTTTTTAATAGCAGGGTTGTTTAGAGTTAAACTTACTTTTATTGTTACTGGATAAAATGCAGAGGACATGTTATTCTTCATCAGTAATTTTTTTTCCTGGTGTTCTCCTGTGATTGTGGTGCAGATAAGAGCTTATAGTAAATACAGCACCGTCAAAAATATGAATTGTTATTCAAAACTTTACAATGGAAAACCAACTGCCTTCAAACTTCAAAGAAGACAAGTCAAGACTAGGAATGAGAAATCTTGTTTCTGATCAGGAGGTGTAACATACCATCAGGAAAAAAAGGGGAAATTCAAAGCTTGCTTTATTAACTTTGCTGTCAGAAACACAAACCTCACTTTTTGAACTTCTGCATTTACTTTTTTGCTATTAAGTTGGCGTGACACAGGCTCCTGCCTTTATGGGTTGTGTCCCCTCATGGCATGTGACGAGGATAGCGGAACTTGCGGCGCAGTTCCATGGCCCAGCGGGAGGGCCACCTTCACATTCCCCTTCAGGAGTTTACTCGGGCTGCAAACTGTGCTTTGCACAGCGGCATTTGTGTCCCGATTTACTCTGTTTACCACAGGACTCCTTGTTTTCACTGTAACTCTGCTGCTCTCCCCAGCCCCAGCTCCGAGCAGCCGGCTGCGCCTCGCTTCCCGCGGCTCCAGCCGATCCCTCCGCAGCATCTTGGGCTACGGGTCATCTCTCGTTTTCTTCCTTGAGCAGGAGATTCCCGAGGAATTGTGCAGTGTTAGCTGCTCTTCGCTGCTCTTTATTTTTCAGAATTTTGAGTTTTGAAGCCATCTGTTTTTAACTGTTTTGTTTGTAACAGAGGTCTTTGATGGGGGCTGGCTTTAGGCCACTTCAGCAGCCTTGCTTCCCAAAACTGAAGGATTTAAAGGATAAGTGGTCAACAAGTGTGAACGATGCTCTTTGCCTGAAGCACTACAAACAAAAATATTAATTTTTATGATTCCAGTAGAGGTTGAAAACTTCCATGAATTGTAATTTGATATATTTTCTTTTAAAATAGAAGTAACTTGGTTTTTATTATGAAGCCAGCAACATGTATACTAGTACTTAAGTTTATATAAAATTATTATTAGGATTTTCAGTACCAGGCAGTTGTTTCTGGTGATATCCTATCAACATAGCAAATGCTTTTGCAATTAAAAGATTCCAATGACCTGACTTGAGAAATAAAATTTAGCAGCTTTGGTGGGACCTGCTTGCTTGTGTACAAAGAACTTGCCAACTAAATTGATGTAAATGTCATTTATTCTTTTTTTCTTTGTTCTATATATTAATTACTAGAAGAATCTTTAAAGTAACTGCTTGTCATGTATACCGCTCAGTTTTTCAGAGGACAGATGGTCAGATTCTTAGCTTTGATTAGTGTTCTTCTTATGCTTAAAATTTTTTTTCTTGCCAATTGAATTAAAGATCTTACAGTCAAGATTGCTGCTAAAATAGAATTTGAAGAAAGAATACCTTCCTTTACATGAGACAGTAACAAGCAATGCAAGACAGCAACAAGCAGCCCAGAAACATCCCACCACCAGACTCTGGAATCTTTTTTTTACTTCAATTACAAAGAGGAGTTTTTCCCTTTTTGCCATTTTCAATTGCTAGTCTGGGTATCAAATGTGTTTATTTTATGTTTTCATTGATTGAGATTTGCTGTTGAAGGTTGGAGTCTGTTCTTCCTTTACAAAACTCGACTGTTCTGCACGGTATTGAAGGGTGGGAGAGACAAAATCAAATAGGAACCTCAAAATATTGAGGAAACCTGGTTAGATGTTTGGTTTCCCTGCAGCGTATGAATATGGTCCTTCAAAACCACATGTCAGTCACCAAGGATGGTCTAAATCCATGTGATGGTGGCAATGTTTATTCATAGGATGGTTTGAGTTGGAAGGGACCTTAAAAGTCATTTAGTTCTAACCCTCCTTCCAACATAATTTTAGTTCACTGAGGAATTTGTAACTGTATTCTATCCAATAAACTTAGTTCTTGAAAATCTTTTTGCCATTATCTGTTTTCTGATTATTTGCTACAGTGTAGGAATTCTCTGTCTTGAGAATTCTTGGTTGATGATTTGCTTGTTTTCTCTGCAAGTAGTTGTTCTCCTTTTTCATGTTTGAAAACAGTCCTTCCTGTTAGGGTTCTTCATCTTTGTAGTAAATGCATACCTTCCCAGACTGCTTAGCCTCATCTTCTCATCAGTTTAGTTGTCAAAGAATTTCCAGATGTTTTCAGTTATAAAGTAGCTTCTTATCATTGAAGTTGTTTATTTTTTATTTTTTTAAGCATAAGATGTCATAGTTCAGAAGTTACTTTGGGCAAATGGAAATTCGATATATTTCCAGAGGGACCTGCATAGGTCAAATGCTGAATAAGAGGAATAGAGAAAGCTAAATTCCTTAATTCAGGTTGTTACTCGAATGGGTACCATTTTCACAAAACATTGGATCACTTCCTAAATCCAAAGTTAAGAACAGATAAGGGTAGTACAGATATGAAATCTTCAGAAAAAATTTTTGAAGCTTGTTCAGTCCAGTTGGAAAGAAATGTTTTAAATAATTTTTAGGAAAAAACCCAGTATTTTTCCCCTATCTTTTTCTTGAGAAGTAAAGAATTTATTAGATACCTGTGTGGGTAGAAAATTAGCCAGTGTACCTCTTAACATTTCTAAGAGAAAACCTATTGTATAGCACAAAATGCTAGCATAAAAATAGAATCTAAAGCATTACTGTCATCATTATTTTAATATATCCTATATGATCAATATAGAGTAGGCGCATGTTTATGTGAATGCTTTTTTTAGTTAGTGAATTTGTGTTTATCCAATTAAGATTAAGCTTTGACTTCAAATTCACATATAATGAACATTTATTTTGGAGAACTTTGGTGTATTCATTTACTGTAAATTTCATGACTGACGGGCAAGTTTATTTGAAAAATACTTCAGGAAATATTTTCATTGTGTTGTAAATTTTTTTTGGGGGGAACAAAGAACACTACCCAAAAATCAAATGGAAGTATGCAAAGCATCAAGTGGAACAAGGAATAGTATAATGGAAAATCAGAGCAATGATACAGAAAGTTGCTGTAAGCAAGCTTAGTTCACATTTAATTCCTTAAACACAAATGTGAATGGAGTGGGATAGTAATTCAGTGCATATTAAGTTCTGTCTTTCCAGTAG